ATATATATGTATATATATATATGTTATTTTCCGTGTTTTATTTTATTTTCTAAACATGCACACTTTGCATGCATAGTTCAGGAACTGAAGGGTTAATACCTTATGATTCTGAGTTGGAACGAACGAATAGAAAAATCAAAAAACAAAAAGAACTTCACAATTTGCAAGAAATAGATAACACATCACATATTGATATTCAAACTGTTGAAAATGAACATAATCTTGTACAAAAATCTTTAAGGGGCTATGTAAACCCTACAACAGATGAAATTCACTTAAGTATACAAATCACTGCTATAGTGACTAACTCATTTGACCTTAAACCTGATATTATACAATTGGTAAAAAAACAATCAGTTTAGGGGAACACCATCTGAGGATCTAAATTTACACCTTGCAAGTTTTCTAGACCTACGTGTTACATTTAAGTACGATGACATATCAAACAATATCATTAGACTTAGGTTTTTTCCTTTTTCCTTAAGGGATAAAGCTAAGTTGTGTTTTAACTCTTTAGCACCTGGATCTATTAGAACTTGGGGAGATTTAGCACAAAAGTTATTGGTTAAGTATTTTTTCACCTTCAAAAACTGCTAGGCTTAGAAAAGATATTACCTCTTTTACTCAGTATGAAGGCGAGTCAATATATGAAGCTCAATATATGAAGCTTGGATATGAAGCTTGAGAAAAATTTAAGGAACTTCTCAGAAAGTGTCTAGATCATACCTTACTAGACTGGTTAATTATTCAAACATTTTATAATGGGTTAGTAAGATCCCTTAGATCTATTATCAATGTTGCAGCTCGAGGTTCATTAATGTCAAAACCAATTCGATGAAGCTTATGGCTTAATTGAAGAGATGACTACTAATAATTTTCAATGACCCTCTGAAAGGGTAAATCCTACGAAATTAGCTAGTGTTCATAATAATGATGCAATTTCTATACTGGCATCTCAAGTTGTTGTAATATTTAGGAAAATAGATCAAATTGGAATGATTTTTTTCTCAAACACCCCGTGATAAAAGAAAATTCATTAGGATAGATGATTAATTCTCATCCATCATTGGAGACTTTAAATGCAATTAAAATAAACCCACTAACCTATATTCTAAATATTACAACCAGGTTGGAAAAACCACCCCAAATTTAACTGGAATAATAATTTTGGTGGTGGAAATCAACAATGAAGGAACAATCAAACAAACCCATTAGAAAACTGGAACAACCAAGTTAGTTCTAACTATAGCCCTTCTTATCTACCTGGATTTACAAATAACCAACAACTTACGAATAAGAAACTGACTATTGAAGAAGTGGTGTTACAGATAGGGAATCAATTACAAAGTCAGAGTGTTGCAATTAGAAATATTGAGAATCAATTGGGATAAATTGCCAATGTATTTAGCAATAGGCCTCAAGGAACGCATCCTAGTAATGTTGAAATAAATCCTATAGATAAGAACAATGAGCAAGAACAAGTTAAAGCTGTCCAACTTAGGAGTGGGAGGGACTTAAATGTTGGAATTCTAAAAGAGATTGAAGTTGAGGAGGAGAATAAAGAAACTGAAAAACATGAAGAAATTGTTCCTAAAGATGTGGAAAAACCCATTTCTCTTACTAAGATCAATTTAGAAAAATCACCACAATGAATTCCTCAAAGAATTAGACAACAAAAGTTGGATCAACAATTTTTAAGGTTTTTTGAGGTATTTAAAAAGCTTAAAATTAAAATTCTTTTTGCCAAATCCTTGGAACAGATGCCAAGTTATGCTAAACTTATGAAATAAATTTTAAACAAAAGAGAAAGTTTGTAGATTATGACACTGTTGCACTAATTAAAGAATGGAGTGCAATAATTTAGAAAAAACTTCCTCAAAAAGTCAATAATCTATCATATCTTGTGCGATTGGAGACAAATTTTGTGGAAAAGGTTTGTGTGATTTAGAAGC